CACACAGCACACAGTGGACCAGAAAGGTTGCCGGGTGGGTGATAGAACCAGTGGACAAATCCTCCAAAGCAGCTGTATATTCAGTACTAAGATCATATTTAATTCATTCCAATTTTAGCCCATGAGTTTGCTGGACAAAGCATCAAACAAACTCAGTTGTAAGCTGTTATCTACTTGTTTTTCCTGTGCACCCTGAACATGCTGTCATAGGAATACATCTGATATCTTTATCACAAAGCTGACTCTCAATCCATACTGCATATTTCAGAGGAAAGGCCTGTTATGAGCTGCAAAAAGAAGTGGTATAGTGTTGACCGTTGCCATTCCCATGGTGTGGCATTAGCCACTGAGATGCAGTCTAATGGCTACTGTTCAGAAATGTTAACGACATAATGGCACAGCACTTTTACTATAAATAGTGCACTATTAACATTAGAAACTCAAACATACATGGTTACCATCCAGGCACCGTGGGCTGAACGGGTGACTTTGGATTTCTCACTGTTCAGTGTTCACTGTTCTTACATGCTCTTTTATTTTCAAATGAACATTTTCCTTTGGCAAATTGCTTGAAATATTATTTCCTGACACATTGGCAAGCCTGTTTTTTTTACCATTTCCCCTAATTTCCATTTCATTTCCAAACGTCCCTCAATTATTCAACACAGATGGTAAATGACCATATTTCTCAAACTCGGTTAAATTACCTTTGTGGAGAGGTTTTATAATCCCTTCCCTTCACAGTGCACAACCAGGACTATTCAACCACAGACCCTGGTCCCTGTGCAGTTTGGCTCTTTGATTTGAATTGAATTCCTCTAGTTTCTGCTCACAGCTGTCTTGTGGGGGCCATGTTCACTGTCAATGGGTCAGGAGCAACAGCTATTACAACCCTAAAAGGACTTGCTTTTTTACATCAGGTTCATGCATGTTATGGCTGTGCAAAAAAAAAAATGTCAGAAGTGAAGTCATTTTCCTCTAACAAAATGATTCCAGATCTTTGCTCCATTTCATCTGATTTGTTGTCTTTTATAAGAAAGCCACAATTTTCAGCTATTTATTCAAATAAACTGGCATTGTTTCTTGTTTAATCTTTTTAAAAAACCTCCATCAGGTAGGTGATTCCATAGTTTGCAGCAGTTTCTATTTCAAAGTGAGTTTTTCTGCTCTGCTGATCGATTTAATTTCTACATATTTCATATGTGATCATCACATGTAATAAAACAAGTTGAAAAGATTAAATAGACTTACCAAACCTCCACAGGTGCTGAGTGAAACGAGGGACTCTGTGTGGTTGCGGATGAAGCCGGAGTAATAGCAGAGCTGGTTTGTGGACAGGCGGTTGACCACCACTCGCTGGTCTTTAAACCTCTCCTCCACAACAAAGTCCCGCCCAAGAATCGAGTGGTCCCGCGTGAGATGGAGATGGAGTTTTTTTCCAAAAGCAGGCAGCGCTACGATGATGTATTCTGGTGGGGGATGAACCTTTTCCCGGGCATCCGTGGGCCGCTGACCAAGGGGCCGCAGGCTGCGGTCAGCACCGGCCCACATGTGAGCCTTCCTCCCGGAGAGCAGCTGTGGGACCACTTCATCTGTCTCCAGCTCGGTGAGGGCTGCGGGTAAAGAATCAATCACACACATTTCCATTTGGCAAACAGAAACAACTCTGGACACCCCTGGCTATCCTAATTCATCAAATTTACTAAAGGTAGCTACTTTTTTGCTCCACGGGGCTTAGTCAGTCTGACAAGGGGTGCTAAGAGTTCTTAGAAAATGAAAAAGTTGACCGGTTTGCAGTGTGTAAAGAGCTTTCACAACCAAAGCAATTATAGATGGAGAGCGAGAGCAAATCTTAAAACCAAAAAATAAACTTTTTTGACCACAAAAAACTGCAATTCCCAGCCACTTGATCTGGTAATCTGCAGGAGAAACACCTATGCTCAGCCACACCGAACACCAGATAACATCCAGGCTCGTGGAAATCAACCATAGAGTTTGAGATTCTGACAATAGAGCTAATCTATTCCCGTTGACAGAAAGGTGGATAATAACACACACAGCAGGAATCCCTCTGAGCTTCCGGCTGTCTTGTAGACAGGGATGTCATTAAAAAAAACTGTAACCCATACTGAATGTTAATGTGGTCAGTTTCAGAGCCAGAGCCAATATAAGAACTGCTGGAAAGTAATAATGTTGGTAAGGAAAGAGGGCAAACAAACATGTATTACAGCCAATTGATTTGCACCATCGCATTCCCCCCATAAATCCAGACAAAAGATGTGTCTGGATTGTGATACCATTTGGAGATAAAACACCATTTTTCTTCACTTAAACAGTGGTAACACCATTTTAGTACATGAATGCAAAATAAATGTCAATAATAATGCAAAATACTTAAAGTTCCATGTCAGCTTTACAAATGGGCTCCTACACACAACA